TCTGTCAGTAAAAGCCAATTCTAACAAACCATGTGAAAAGTCACCTGTATGTTGACGAGAGCCAATCTGCCTTTTTTCTGCATTATCAGTGTTAAGTGCAGCACCAACGATATGCTAAATTGTGTTCCCTGAGCAACATAACTACATCAACATCTTAATGTTCCTGCAGTAGCAGTCATATTACATAATCCTACATGTTGGCACTCTGGTAACTTAAATAAGGTTTTAGTAGACTCAGAAATATTTTGCTTGGCAGACAAAAATGTTTTAAACTTCAAGTGGAAAAAACTTGCAAATTTTATCTTTCTGAAAAGTTTTCAAAATAATGTGTAAGAATACTTCACAGTGCTTTCTTAAAGTAGCAGAGAGTGTAACAGAACAATAAGTAACAGGTGTAAAGCCAGACCACATTCGCCTACAGACAGCACTTGACTACGTATCACCCGGGCACCAAGATGACCTGACAGCTCTCCATACTCTCAAAAGTGTTTGATACTTCAACTGGTCTGACTGCTGTGAACATGTTACTCTAATACTTCAAAAAGTGCTGGTCTTGGGCTTTAAAATGCTAAACAGACTGAACTTCACTATTAAAAGACCACCTTCTCCCATATTGAACTTTTCTGACAGGTAAGATAAACTTCTTTGAGTGCACTGGGTATAAGGCAGATTCTGAAATAAGGTAGGATTCCAACATAAAGCCGATAGCTACTATAGATACTGCCTCTCCTGTGATGCATCCCTAGAATCATCTCATGACTTTGCTACTATTCTTTGCAAGCCAGTAGTCTGTTGTGTTTTTCAGTGCTTTTATTAGTCTTCTATTTTTATCTACCACTCTGCTTATCTGATGGATTTATTGATTGTTGTTGATTTCTTAATTGTATTTTATGCTTTATCTGTTTAGTAAGCAGCTTTGAGGGATCTCTTTAGATGAAAAATGGGATATCAATGCCTTAATAAAATAATCAATAGTCTCTTGGATTCCCTCCTTAATGCCTATAATAGATCCTTACTCTTGAAAAGAGATTTATTTGGTGATTAGGGAAGAGGATGGGATTCAATATAGGGTGTATACAAAAGATCACTTGATGTGGAGAAGTTAATTCCCTATGCAGTTTCGACATCCTTTTGTATTCAAAATGGAGACAGTATCCCAAGACCCTATTTCAGGAATAAAGGTAAGCCTGCATTCAATGTTACGAGAAAAATAATAGCTATTTTTTCTATATTTCACATGCAGGCAGGTAGGAAATTGCACATTTACACTGTGAGCAGCCTTAGTGATTATCAGCACATGGGGATCAAAATGCACCCCTGTGACTTACAAAGTAGTATTCTGCCAATCCCCCAAAGCAGCCCTCATTCAGTGAAAGAAACAATATAGTTTTAAGTGCAGTCACATACCACAATAATGCATTAGTACTAGCTTGCCGGACGGCCCCACCTCCACCCGTGCTGCCCGGAGCCCGCGTCGTCCAGACGTCGCCGCTGCTCCGCCGCCCGCTGCTGCCCGCTGCTGCCACTGCCCCGCCGCAGAGGCCAGGACCACCGGCCCAGGACCCTGCTCCAGCCTGCATCCCCTGGCGTGTGTGAGAGACACGCCGGGACGGGGTGGGGCACAGGGAGGGGCCCTGCGGGCCACAAAGCGCCAGCGGTGACTGGGGCCGGTGGCCTTGGGCCAGCGGCCAAAGGGCGACGGCCTAAGGGCGACGGCCTAAGGGCGATCGCCGTTTGGGACCTGTTCGGGGGCCAAGCAGGGGGCTGGGCTGGCCAGGCCAGGGGCTTTGGCCGTGGTTTGGTTTTATCTGTGGGCTAGCGGTGGATTACGGAAGGATGTTTTTAATGGTTTTAATTGTTGGTTTTAGATTGCTTTTAATTGGAGTATCTTGTGCTTTACTATGATGTCGCCAGGGGAGCTTGGGGCGCCACCATCGGGGTGGTAATGGGCAATGGACGTTATGGCGTTGGGGGGTCTAACAGGTCAGCATAGAAGAAGGAGGGACAGATGGTTAACACCTGTCCCTCTTTCTGGTTATTCCCCCAGCTGGCGGGTTCCAGGTAGACTTGTCAACTGCCCTCCGGGCCTGTCGGTGCTGCTGCTTAATGCCAGGTTGGTCCAAAATGAGGCAACACTCATCCATGATTTGATCATGGATGAGAGGGCCAACTTGGCTTGCATCACAGAGACCTGGGTGGGTGATTGGGGGATGTTTCCCTCTCACAATTGTGCCCGCCCGGCTAACTGGTCCAGCACCAACCAGGCCTGGAGGGAGGGGAGGGGGGGTCACTCTGGTTTATTGAGCTTCTATTTCCCTTATGGGGCTTCCTGTCCTCTCGAGGCAGGGGCTGGAGTGTCTCCACTTGGTGTTCGGCGACCGAAACAGATTGGGGATTCTGTTGGTGTACCGTGCACCCTTCTGCCCAACAGACTCCCTGCCTGAGCTGACGGAGATCGTCTCGGACCTGGTGTTGAAGACTCCCAGGATGTTGGTCCTGGGGGACTTCAATCTCCACGCCGAGACGGTTCTAACCGGGGCGGCTCAGGACTTCATGGCCTCCATGGCGGCCACTGGGCTGTCTCAACACATCATTGGCCCAACCCATGAATGTGGACACACTCTGGACCTGGTTTTCTCGACGGGGCAGGAAAAGGGTGATCTGAGGGTGAGGAATTTAAGTTTGACGCCCTTGTCATGGTCAGATCACTTCCTCATAAGGTTTGAGCTCGAGAGCAGCCTTTCCCTCTGTAAGGGTGCGGACCCGATTGTATTGGTCTGTCCCTGGAGCCGGATGGATCCTGATGGATTCCTGGAAGCTCTGGGGGATTTTCTGGTTGACAAGGCTGTGATCCTGTCGATGCCCTGGTTGAACTGTGGAATGAGGAGATGACCAGGGCTATTGACACAATCGTTCCCAAGCATCCTCTCCCACCTGGCAGAGCCCGTTCATCTCCTTGGTATACACCTGAATTACGGGCGATGAAGCAGGTTTGGAGACATCTAGAGTGTAGGTGGAGGAGATCACAGGGTGATTCTGACCAAACACACTTAAAAGCCCACTATCGGGCCTATGCTGTGGCAGTGAGGATGGCGAAGAGGAAATTCTTCTCCGTTTCCATTGCCTCCTCACAATGCCGTCCGGCAGAGCTCTTTCGCGTGGTGCAGGGACTGGTACATTCGGGTCCAAATAAAGATCTTATGCCACCCTCGAAGGCCCGCTGTGATGACTTTGCCAAGCATTTCAGGGAGAAAATCGCTCAGATTCGCCACGAGCGTGACTCTACTACTGAATCAGATTCTACTGGGGAGATGCCATCAATGCTGTCGAGTCCACAATTAATGGATGAATTTCAGTTGTTGTGGCCTGATGATGTGGACAAGGTGCTTGGACAAGTACGCCCTACCACTTGCTTACTAGACCCATGCCCAGCTTGGCTACTCAAGATAGCCAAGGACGGGATTGGGACCTGGATCCTGGAGGTTGTCAATGCCTCTCTAAAGGACGGCCGGGTACCTGCCCCTTTAAAGGAGGCGGTAGTCCGGCCAGTCCTAAAGAAGGCATCCCTGGATCCAGAGGTGGCCGTCAATTATAGACCGGTGGCCAACATCCTGTTCCTGGGCAAGGTGCTAGAGCAGGTGGTGGTGGGACAACTCCAAGCACTCTTGGATGAAACTGATTATCTGGACCCATTTCAGTCCTGCTTCAGACCCGGGTATGGTACTGCATCTGCCTTGGTCACCCTGTAGGATGACCTGTGCAGGAGAGAGACAGGGGGAGTGTGTCCCTGTTAGTTCTCCTGGACCTCTCAGTGGCTTTCGATACCATCGACCATGGTATCCTTCTGAATAGGCTAGTGCGATTGGGAGTTGGAGGCACCGTGTGCCAGTGGTTCCGCTCCTATCTCAATGGCCGATTTCAGAAGGTGGTGCTGGGGGAATATGGCTCTGTGCAGTGGCTGTGCTGAACCGGTGCCTGGCCAGGGTAATGGGCTGGATGAGGGCCAATAAACTGAAGCTCAATCCAGACAAGACGGAGGTCCTGTTGGTGGGTGGCTCGGGCCTCGGGATGGGGGACTTGGGCCTTGTCCTAAATGGGGTTGCACTCCGTCTGAGAGACAGGGCTCGCAGCTTAGGAGTGCTCCTTGACCCTGAGCTGTCTCTAGAAGCTCAGGTGATGGCGGTGGCAAGGAGCGCCTTCAGCTTTGGCTGATCCATCAGCTGCGTCCCTTCCTGGAGAATGACTGCCTGGCAACAGTGACACACGCGTTGGTGACTTCCCAATTAGATTTCTGTAATGCACTCTACGTGGGGCTACCCTTGAAGATGGTCCGGATACTTCAGTTGGTGCAGAATAGAGCTGCCAGGTTGCTGACGGGGACTGGGCGTTGTTCTCATATAACCCCAGTTCTCCGTCAGCTCCACTGACTCCCGACTGAAGTCCAGGCCCAATTCAAGGTGTTGGTTATCACCTATAAAGCCCTAAATGGCTTGGGACCTGGATATCTAAAGAAACGCTTGCGTCCAAACATGCCCTCCCGCCCCTTGAGATCACCATCAGATGCCCTTCTCCGGGAACCCTCAGTGAATGATATTAGGAGGGTGAGTACCTGGAAGAGGGCTTTCTCCGCGGTGGCGCCCCATCTATGGAATGCGCTCCCCAGAGAGGTCCGCCTGGCGCCGTCGTTATTTGTGTTTCGGCGCCAGGCTAAGACCTTTTTATTAAAAACTTATTTTAATTGTTAAATTATTTGTCTGTATAGGATTTTAAATTTTTAGCAGAGATGCACCGGGGGTTTTTAAATAATTTTTTATTGTTATATTGTTGTTATTTATGTATTTTGTTTCTGTTGTGAGCCGCCCCAAGGCTTCGTTGCGATGGGGGTGGCATAAAAATGTCTTAAATAAATACTAAAAAGCAATGCTAGATGAATTCAGTGACAAAAGGGAGAGCATTTTCAACACACCTTTCCTCAGGTATTAAAGATATTTCACACTTACTTTTTAAAATGAAGGTATAGTTATTGACCCAAGCAGTTTCCAGTGAGTTCAGGGAAAGATGGCATAAGCCTTCTCAGCTTGAAGCACTTGTTCTTCTGGGGAAGAAACATACTGTCCGGCCATTTTCACAAATGCCTAGAAATGTTGGAAAAGAAAAAGCTGTTGAGACAGAGTCTTAGTTCAGTACCTTAACTTTAAGAAAGTCATTCCTGGGTTACTACTTTCTCCAGCATCCACAGTGCTTTTTATGAGCAATAATCACAACAAATAAATGCATGACACATGCAAAGTAGACTAGAACTGACCTGATCACACCGCACAGCTTCTAATTCTTGCCAGTCCAAAGAGAAGAAAGGAAGAAGCCATGGCTAGCAGTTAAAATGACTGCTCTACCTCTACCCCAAAATGCATTACACCAAGTTAAATGAAAAGTTTTACACTGAGAATACAAGCTGGCACTGCAACATGGCCTAGTCATTAAGGCATCTTTAGCATTACCACCAAAAATTCTGAAGCCATTTTTTGAATTTTCAGAATTGCAATAAATTGTTTGAAAGTAACTTTTGGTGAATTTTGGCAGCAGATCGATGCCACATCTTTCCAATCAGTCTTTCAGATAGCATCAAGCTGCTTTTTCTAGACTGGAAAGTATTCAAATACTTTAATATGCAAATAGGTTAAAGAAATTCCTTCTGCCAAGAAAATCTGCAGATAAGTTTCATGAATTTTCACATATGTAAATTTTGCTGACCTCCATTAACATGAACTATTTTGTATGGCTTCATACAGCAAGTGAGTCTGTAACTTAAGAATTCTGTAGACCTAATGCCACAAACACTTTTAAGTCACTGGAAGCAGTATTAAACAATGTCATACATGCCTTGTCCCAGAGGCAAACTTGCTCCCAGCTATCACAAACATTTACCTTCTTAAACTGAGAATATCATTCCAGTGATTCACACAAAGTTACCTCACATAGACATCCTGCATTCACAATACACAAGCTGTGTGTAAAAGGGAAAAAATGTCCTTTTCATCTATGTACTCCCTCAGTAGCCACTCTAGGGGAGGGAGCCCTAATTTTTATCCCCACTCACCCCCTAGGAGAGAAGGCGCTGGTCTTGCTCCAATTCAAGGTGCTGCCACCTTCCCATCCACTAGGAACTATACCTATCTGGAATGGAAGACAGATCTGGAATGGAAGACAACCCAGAGAGGTCCGCCTGGCGCCGTCGTTATTTGTTTTTCGGCGCCAGGCGAAGACCTTTTTATTTAAGCAGTATTTTAAATGTTAATATTATTGAATTTTATTTGGCCAGGGCGGCTTGTTTTATAGTGTATGTTTTATATTATATATTTGTATTTTATTGTATATATTTTAAAATGTTATTTTAATTTTTTGTTGTAAGCCGCCCCGAGGCTTCAGCGAATGGGGCAGCATAAAAATGTTTTAATAAATAAATAAATAATAAAATATAGAGACTTCCTTGAGGGAGCTAGGAACAGAGGCCCTCCTGAAAGGGAGGTGCATGAGGTCTTGTGCAGATGCACCTTGGGACCATGGCCCAAAAAAGCCAAGGTGAGGGAAGGGAAGACATCCATCATTATCTCCTCCCTAGCTGGGTTCCTGGTCTGTGAGGTCTCAGTTCCACCAGCACTCCTCCTCTTCAGATCCCAAGGAGAATGCACTTTCTGAAGACCACAGTGACAAAGGGCAGTCCCAAGGACATTTCTTCATTTTGGAGGCTTTCTCAAGGATGATTTCTAGCTCCGATAGCATCTTGGCACTCCTAAACCACACGAGGCTGTGCAAAGAGGGCAGGAGTTACAGCAGCCATCCCAACAATGCCTCCTTCTCATCCCCCAGTTTCCTTGCTTCTCATCCTGGAGGAAATCCTGAACAAAGACCAGGAAAAGTTGCCCAGTCCTAGATCTTCTCATCACTACTGCAACAACTTCTACTGTCTTCAGTATAACATGAAGCAGAAACTGGGCTGTTCCAAGGGTAGATGACCCAGCATCCAACTTTAGTTCGAGAGCCTTTCTGAATGCCATGTGTAATGAGTTGCAATCTGAGCAAGAAGACAGATGTCCTGACTTGGACCTGCACAGATGCTTGGAGGCTACAGCCACCTCCATGAGAGCTTCCACAACTTCTACCAAAGTGATGTGAGCAATCTTCATGAAAGTCAGTGCTTTCTTTCCAAATAGGATGCTGAACAAAGCAACCCAGGACTTCACCTGAAGTGGCCTCAACAGCAGTATTCCTAGCAAATGCCACCCTAGATGCCTTCCAACTGGGGGCAGGTCTGCACCTTCTAGCATGGTCACAGGAAAGAACATCTAGCTTTGTAATTGGAGAGTGGGTGCTATATTCAAATCCAACCTGGCAGGCATCCTCTTTGTTGGAAAATTCATTTGGCCAGATGTTCAGCAAGGTCCCAGTAGAAAGCAAGGACAGGAGGAAAGCTATACCAAGCACCTTCAAACGGAATCTTAGCTGCCTCAGGCAAAACCAACATCATTTTGTCTTTTCATCCCCCTCCATCTCCAGGAAATGGCAAAAATGGCAGCAGGGTCTCAAACACAGGATCCCCCTGTCAGGGGAGGAAGACTTGCTCAGTATGGTCTGCCACCTCCAGCAGGAGTGAGACTTCATACCTTCTCAAATATCTGGAGGTAGCCCTTCTCCTACCATAGGTGCCTAGAAGCAATTGAAGATGGATACTCCCTAGAATTCAGGAAGATTCCCTTGGACAGTTTCTTCAAGACTGATAAGCTCAGAGACCCCTCCAAGTGCCTGAAAACTCTCATAGCCATTCACCTTTTGCTTCAGATCTGGGCCACGAAGAAGGTTCCATAGAAGGAATGGGAGAAGGGTGTCTTCTCATTCTTCTTCCCTGTACCTTAACAGGATGGTGCGGTCTAGCCTTTCATGGACTCAAAAAAGTAAATTGTGACCTCAGGAATCAGAAATTCAGAATTGAGACCCTCAGGACCATATATGAATCTCTCATGGAAGGAGACTTTCCAATTGCAGTTGACTTGGCAGAAGCATACCTACACAACCTCATCTGCCCTGCCCAGCACAGATTGTTCCCCTTCAGCTATGACTGGGCGCAGTACCAGTTCAGGGCTCTCCTGTTTGGCTTGGCCACTGTTCTGCAGGTCTTCACCAAGGTTTTACTGGCACTAGTGGCTCTCTTCCAAGTCAGGGGAGTTCAGTGCCATCCCTATCTGGGTAACATTCTGATCCTCTCCCCTATGCAGACTAGTCTAGAACATCGGATCACTCTCTCAGGCCTACAGGACTTGGGATTTCTGATCAAGAAGAAGAAGAGCTTGCTTTCCCCAACTCAGTCCTTCTACTGAAGGGTGACCCTGGACAATCTCAAGAACATAATGACCCCCCTCTCCAGTGAGGCAGAATAGCATGAGTCACCTGGCTTCCTTCATCTGCTACAAAGCAATGGCACAGCTCAGAGTTCTGGTGAAGCTCATGGACAGGATAGTCTCTTGCCATGGGAACTTGTGCCAGGACACTCTAAGAGAAGGCTACAAAGCTGTTCTGCTGGGCTTAGAAGCATCTCAAATTCATTAGAGCCAAGTATCAGAGGCAAGTCTTAAACATTCAAGCTGAATGACTCAGCAGGAATTCCCTGGACCTGGGGGAGTGGTCCCTGCATCTAGAGGTCTTTGAAGCACTGACACGACAGGTAGGGCTCCTCTGCATCATACTCGTTGCCTCTCCACAAAAGGCAAAGCTTCTCAGGCTAGACACCCATTACCAAATAAGGGAAACACAATTCACAGATTCTTGACCAGCAAGGGGCTTCTGGGTCTCCTCTGTGCCCTTTTGCCTGTAACCCGCTTTCCTAACATGCTCAGAAGAGTAAGAGATCAATGTGCCCAAGTGATTCTCATCACCCCAAACTGGCCAAAAAGACTGTGGTATGTTGACTCAGTGGACCTTTTTGTCCCCAATCTGGTTGTTCTTCTGACCCTCTAGGATCATTTCAATCAGGGACATACATGCTACCAAGATGCAAGCTTCCTAAAGTTACTGCCTGGAGGTTGAATAGGGGCCCCTAATCAAGTGGAACTAATGTACCTAGACAGTCTCAACTTTCCTAGCTTCCAGGATAAATTCCACCACTAGACCATACCTGACAGGCATTCCTGGCATGGGTTCAAATCTCAGGCAGAAATCCTATAGCTCCAGGTGTCCCAGACATTCTGGAACTGTGCCTGTCAGCTGGTCTGTGGCCCAATACCCTCAGAAATCAAGTTGCAGCTCTAGGCTCCAGTTTGGCAAACTCCCCTTTGGGCACCCATCCACACGTCAGAAGAATCCTGAGGGGGGCCTCCTTAATTAGTCTACTCCCAGGCCATAGTTTTTCATCAAGTCAAAATACAGTGCTTACAGTCCTCACCAAGGCTCCCTTCAAACCCCTAGGGGCTTCCACTCTCAAGGTGTTGACCTGCAAAACCAACTCCCTAGTTATCTCAGCCAGAAGGATTTCAGAACTATGGACCCTATCTTCTCACAGGGACATGTGTGTCTTCCATAAATACAAAGCAGTTCTCCACCCTGGCCCTTTCATTATCCCCAAAGTCAATTCAGCCTTCCACAATTCCTAGGAGGTGACAATTCTGTCCTGCTCACAACCATCATTCCCTCAGAAATGAAAGTAGCACACCCTGGACTCTAGGCACACAGTGAAGTTTTATTTAGACAGGACAAGACCTCATACACAGCATAGCTCTCCAAATGTAAAACCGTTTTCCCTAGTGAGAGGAAATGGGTATCCATAGGCTCTCTGGCTGGAAGGCTGTGCAAACATTTTCAGAACAGATGTCAAATGCACATCTTTAGACAAGCATTGCATGATGCAAGTAACAAACCTCTAATTAATCCACTTTGATATAGATGTTGTTCATTTCTATCAGCTTGGCTTTAATTTGCGTAAATGCCTTATCCAAGAGCTGGAATGTATCTCTTCTAATCTGCATTGACAAGGGAGAAATTCTATATTAGCAAACACAGCTAATAAATACCAGAACAACTTTCAACCATTTTAGATATGCATATATTTTTGTTTTATTTGTTATGACAGTATAATAGCCTTTCCCTTAGAAACCTAGATTTCTCAATGGTTTCCCATCCAGAAACAGATCAGTCCACAGCTACCAATCCTCAACATTCCTACACTATTAGGTACTTCCTTATTGATCATTAGATCCAACTAAATAAACTGTAAAAATACCTTATATACTTTAGCTTTTGGACACATGCAAGCACAATAACACACACATCCTCACACTGTGCATCCACATGTGGCTTTCCATATACCTTCATGTCTAAAGTGAACCTTAGGCTCTCTACAGCTGAGAATTTCAGAACTTCCCAATACAGAATCTGCATAATTCTAAAAGACCATGTTCTTTACACCAACAGAAAGTGAGCCAGAGAAAGATATCATATACATTTTGTATTCCTTTAACCCAGGTAGCTGGCTCTGTTGCACAAATATTTACAAAAAACTGCCTTGTGGTATATTATTTATTTATTTAAACCATTTTTATGCTGCCCCATTTGCAAAAAGCCTCGGGGCAGCTTACAACAATAATATATAAACATAAATAAACAGTTTATACAATTAAAGTTAAAACACCGGAAACATCTCGGCATGTACATAAAAACCCCATAAATACAATTCATAAATTAACAATTAAAATAACTTTTAAATAAAAAGGTCTTGGCCTGGCGCTGAAAAACAAATAATGACAGCGCCAGGTGGACCTCTCTGGGGAGCGCATTCCATAGGTGGGGCACCACCACAGAGAAGGCCCTCCTCCGGGTACTCACCCTCCTAATATCTTTCACAGAGGATTCCCCGAGAAGGGCTTCTGCTGCCGATCTCAAGGGGCAGGAGGGGATATATGGACGCAAGCATTCCTTTAGATAATCAGGTCCCAAGCCATTGAGGGCTTTATAGGTGATAACCAACACCTTGAATTGGGCCCGGACTTCAATGGAGAGCCAGTGAAGCTGATGAAGAACTGGGGTTATATGAGATCAATGCCCAGTCCCTGTCAGCAACCTGGCAGCTCTGTTTTGCACCAACTGAAGTATCCGAACCGTCTTCAAGGGTAGCCCCACATAGAACGCGTTACAGAAGTCTAATCGGGAAGTTACCAGTGCATGTGTCACTGTTGCCAGGCAATCGTTCTCCAGGTAGGGACGCAGCTGATGGATCAGCCGAAGCTGAAGGAAAGTGCTCCTCGCCACCGCCGTCACCTGAGCTTCTAATGACAGCTCAGGGTCGAGGAGCACTCCCAAGCTGCGAACTTTGTCCCTAAGAGGGAGTGCAACCCCATTCAGGACAAGGTCCAGGTCTCCCACCCCAAAGTCCAAACCACCTACCAACAGGACCTCCGTCTTGTCCGGACTGAGCTTCAGTTTATTGGCCCTCATCCAGCCCATTACCTCAGCCAGGCACCGGTTCAGTACAGCCACTGCCTCACCTGGATTGGTTGAAAACGAGAGGTAGAGCTGGGTAGCATCAGCGTACTGATGATTCCACAGCCCACACCTCCTGATGACCTCTCCCAGCGGTTTCATGTAGATGTTGAATAGCAAGGCGGACAAAATGGACCCCTGTGGAACTCCATGGCATAACTGCCATGGCGCAGAACCACAGTCCCCCAGCACCACCTTCTGGAATCGGCCATTGAGATAGGAATCGGCCATTGAGATATTAAAGATTTGAACCATCATAATGGCATAATGGCATCCACTGTTCTATTAAAATTTATGCCATTATAAATGCATTGGCCTGCGAGATCCTACAAGACTCTGCTGCTTTTGCTGCAATGATCACTTACATTTCTGGAAATACTTTTAAATTGGAAGAAGCAGAGTAGGCTTAGAAACTGACCCTGAATTTGCCAAAGATGAGTGAGTGAAGGTTCTTAAGGTTGAAAGTGGCAGAAAGAAAAAAACTCAAACAGCAATTTGGAAAACAACATAAGAACATGTAATACAAATGCAGCCAGCAGATGTAGACAAAACAAAGAAGATATTAATCAACACTGAAGGCAAAACCCTACACCACTACAAGGTCAAAGCAGCCATTTTCCTCTAAATGCAGACACAGATAATTGGTACAAGATTAAGGTTTGTTTTTGTTTTGTTTTGGGTTTTTTGCCAGAAAAGAGACATCTGAGGCCTATTTTAGAACCATACCAACAATGATGCTAAGACTGGGTAACTTTGGGTCAGTCAGTTACTTTCAGCCTAACCTACCTCACATGGTTGTTCTTGTGAGGATAAATGGAGAGGAGGAGAACTTTGTAAGCTGCCTTGGGTTCCTTGCAGGAGGAAGATGGGGTATATATAGATGCAATGGAATGGTACTACTCATGATAATATAAATGCTATAAAATATTTTTGTCAGCTCATCAAGCTGTTAATAATTGTTTCATTTCTATATTAACCCGTAGCTGAAGCTCTCTGGGCAGTTTGCAACAATGACATATTCATGGAGTTTTTTGACAAGCTGATGTAGTATAAGGCTGTCAACTGCCACTAGTTGTGATGTTTGTATAATACCTGCAGTATCAAAGACGGTGTGCTTCTGTATGCCACTTGCTGCAAAACACAAGCAGGACAGTACTATTGTGCTCACTTCCTGCTTGTGGGCTTCCCACAGAAATCTGACTGGCTACTGTGGAAACAAAATACTGGACTAGCTAGGACCTTGGTCTCTTCTCACAGGGAATCTTCTGTTCTAGGAGGAGGAAAAAGTAACTAGTTCCATTTCAAGGTGGCTATTCAGGGTGACTATTCTTTTTTATAAACTGCCCAGACAGCTTCCACTATGGGCAATACAGAAATGTGCTTATATAATAACAGTAATACCCTATAAGGGAGCTGTTAAGTCATTTTTTTGGCTTTTCTCATTAACTTAAGTGCTTCAAAGAGAGGAGAGAAACAAAAACGTGCAGCTACAAAAATATTTAAACTACTAACTGAGCAAAGGATTCTAAATAATTATTTCCTAACTCAGTATTTATTTATAGGCCACCTGATCACCTTCACAAGTCAGCATATAACAATGAGAACATACAAACAAGATACATTTTAAGAATCAGATCTTACGAATACTTCATTGCAATGAGAAGCAGTCTCAAGAGTAAGCAAAATAAAACACTGTTAAAGACGAATCTGAAATAGATAACCTTTACAATCCTAAATATTGTAAATATTAATAGAATTAATAGAATATTAATAGAGACCAGGTTAATAGAATATTTTGGACTGGGTTCCGAAATACAATGGCACCTTGCACTTGTGTGTGCTGGATGTAGTATGTTCAAATTTACCACTTCAATCAATATTAGGGCAGTTGTATTTTAAGCCAGTGGAATTTTCCAAAACATCTTCAAAGGAAGACTCAAGAACATCTTCAACAGAAGAGGCAAATCAGCACAGAGATATAGCAGCAGTACAGGATAAAATGCAATATTAAAAACTAAAAGATTAACTATGAAAATACTGGGCAAATAACAAGGTTTTTCACCCGGCACCAAAAAGAACAAAGTAGGCACCGGGTACAACTTTTTGAGGAACTCATTCTGTAACTGGGGTGCCGCACCTGCAAAGGTCCCTCCCTGGTAGCCACACTCCATACTTCCTTTGAAGGGGGCTCCTTGGAGAAGGACCTCTGAAGATGACCTTAGGATCCAGGTAGCTACATACGGGACAAAGCATTCCTTCAGATAACCTGTTCCCAAATCATTTAGGGTATTGAGTCTTAATACTAGCACTTTGAATAGTGCCTAGACTTGAACTGGCAGCCAATGCAGTTGGAAGGGGACTGGAGTAATATATTGCTATAAGCCAATTCCCATTTGCAATCTAGCTGCCCTGTTTTAGAACAATTGCAGTGTTTGGCCCATTTTCAAAGGCAGTCACATGTACAGCACATTGAAGTAATCCAAATGAGAGGTTACCAGAATGTGGATTACTGTCCGGCTAGGTTCTGTCTGTACATGGTCCTCCTCCTTTCAAGGTGGCTTACATAATCCTGCTCCTCCCCCAGTGAGCTTTGTGGCCAAGGAGAGACTAGAATCAGGATTTCCAGACCCCAGTCCAACACTCCAGTCACCATACTACACTGGCTGTACATGACACTGCACTATTTCTCTTCCAAAGCTAGGTTTGAGTCCAGAATGGATCCCAAACTATCTGGTGTAAAGAAGTCACCTCCATCACTTTGTCCTAAAGAGGAAGGTTAGCAGCTGGACAACAGATATCAAAGTTTATCATATAGATATCAAATTTTATCAGAATCATGTTTTATTAGCAAGCTCCTCACTATTGCTTTCTTAAGTACAGCAGGTACCACATGCTGCTTTAAGAAGGTGTTCATTACCTCTGAAGACTAAGACCTCAAATAAGCTGTGGCAGCTTTTATTGACTAAAAAGGGGAAGAGATCAAAACAACAGTGGCTAGGTGCCAGCTCTCCAACTAGCTTATCTACATTCTCAGGTTGCACTAGCTGAAAGGTATCAATAATTTTATGACTACCCAGCATTCCCCAAACTAGTATCCTCCAGATATTTTAGACTACAATTCTCAGCATCCCTGAGCATTGGCCATGCTGGCTGAGGCTGAAGGGAGTTGGAATCCAAAACTTCTAGAGGGTTCCAAGTTGGAGAAGGCTGAATTACTTTCTTTTCAAACTTTCAAGCTGCATCCTTTTCAAACTTTATCAAAAGATGACATCCAAATTACCAAAGATACAAACATTTTTGGTACCATATAAAATTGCATACAATGTGCTTTTGAGGTTTCACTATTCAATCTCTTGAATTCTTATGAACTATGAAATATACTACCTGAAATAGCAGCTGACATTGTACAAACACATAAGATTTCTTCACCATCAAGATTACTGCAGAGTAAACTCAGAGTGAGGTTCTTACTTGCATTCAGTCCTGTTCACAGTGAGGCTTCCACCATCTGTAGTATAATAATCTCATTGCATTAAATTCTCCAGAATAGCAGGAGCTAAGAGTTCTATGACTGAGTCAAGACAAACTTGAAGCAATTTAAGTAAGACTCCAGGTTTCTTCTCTATTACTGGTAGACCTTGACAGGATTTCCAACTACAGCTGCCAAAAATTTTTTAAAAAATCCTCCAAGAAAATCCTCTGGAACCACTAAAATTCTTCCTAAATCTCCAAGGAAGCTACAGGCTAAAGGTTCAACTTGATCACAATCTTTGCATGACCACAGAGCCAATATGGCCTCTCTTGCCCAAATATCATCTTTATCAAATCTGAAGCAGAATACCAGCTCCAGAGTGCAAGCTGGTGCTTGGGCTGACATTATCTAAGATAGAGCCACGATTTCATGATAACCATGAAATCCCAAGATTCTACAGCCAATGCGGTCTCAGTATGGATGCTGAAGTCCATACTCAACACCTATCCCAAGAAGATCTATGTCAACTCAGGCAGGAAAACTGTTGAGAAGTGGGGTGGATGGTATACCAAGGGAACTCCAATTATATCTCAAACAGTAGCTTTGTGTAGGAGCCAGTCCCTGCCAAACAAGGCCATTATATTTACAAATATGAGAAATTCATTAATCAATTATCAAAGGAGAGGTTTTTGCACAATATAATCAAGGTTCAATCACAGTATTATGCCATTTTGAAATGAAAATGCTCCTTTAGGTAGAATTGTATTGCTTTGAATAGAAAAATGAAGTCATATCTGTCTAATGCAACTTATTTCATTTTATGAATTTAACAGTTGCTTTTAAAAAGAAAAAAAACTTTATTTTCATCTTTGACAAAATATAAAGATTTGCATAAATCACAGGAAAAACCTTATATGACTGTATGCAAATATATTCATAAAGAATCACTGAGTAAAATAACTGTGACAGCTAAACATGTCCAGAGAAGTAGGATGCTGAAAACAGCTAAACAAATTCATGTAGAATGTTTTATTGACTCACAAAGTGAAACAATGCCTCTATTTCTTGATAACAACACATAAGGCTATAAATCCCTTGCAAGAATTGAAGTGATTCTGAAAGATGACAAGAAATTTTATTAGCCTCAGATAGCGTTTCATATGCAGCTGGAAAGAACCTGCTACTGCAGGTATTTAGCATTGCAAAGTACAAATTCGTCAGACTAAACATAGCACTTTAATGCTGTCAGATAAGATCAATAATCTGTATACAACCTAATTATTCATAAACTTCGAGTTGCAGAATTTTTTTTTCATGGATAACACAAAGCAAACAAACTCCTAAGTTAGCACTTGCCATAAAAGAGATTGGGGAAATTCTCCAGGGAGGTTTAACATTTATTGAATTTACTGGAGTGATTTTTGAATGTGCAAACAGTCAAAATGCCAAGAGAACAAATATTCCCCACTTAAAAACCCAGTTTAGGAAGAAGTATCAATACAACTGTCTCCATAAAGAATCCAGAAAGTGGGAGAGAGTATTGCTTTGGCAGCTTTCAAAGTTGCGAAATACTGTAGAGCAATGAATTCTAACCGTTTTGTATGAACAGATCCATGCTTGAAAGAGAAACAACCACCTGAATCAGATTAATCACTATATGTCTGCAATTGTTTTGGTGCATTTAGTAAAGCGTTTTAGGTGCTTCTAGTGTTTTTCATAATTATTCTTATACACCATAAGCCTTTTACACACTTATAAAAGCCTTATATACACTTTGCAAAATAAATAAAGGCCAAAAAGTGGGTCTTCATTATTTTTGGTTGCATTGGAAACTGGCAAAAACTGCTAAGGAACCAGAAACAAAGAGTGGCTTAAAAAGAAGCATAGGTTAATGTTAATTACTCATCAGTGGAAAGTAGTTTTTGGTTTTCCAGTTACAGTACTATTTTCCAATACGTATATAAAAATATAATTAAATCCAGACAGAGCAATCTGACTCATGCTTACTCAGAAGTAATGTATAATGCCTGCAATAGAACATACTCACAGATAAGTAGATACAAATTGCAGCTTCAAACATAAAAATTAATTATCAGAAGGAAATAATAAAATGGCTTCAGTAATAATAAACAGACGTTTAACCTACTGTTTCAACCTACAGTTCACACTGCAAACATATTTGAAGCCTTTAGGCGGACTGCCACAGCATTGCTCCCTCAACTGAGCTGATGCATGCCATAATTTTCTCACTATGCATTTGTATAGTACCTAATAAAAAAGGTCCCAAATTGGAGTGCAGTCACAGCATAGCGCATTTCATTTCTACTAAACATTTTAAATGATATTGCCCTATAGAGCAGTGATGAAGAATGCTATTATCGTGTTATTATGTTGTTGGTTGAAATGAGTCTGCAGCTATGTTACTGAGGATTGCAATATTAGCAATACCCTATCCTACATTTTAAATCATCAGCTGGAAGGAATCTAATCATCATGACATTAGAGCATGGAATCTCCTACGAATATGCTTGATGACTCCCTCAAAAGATAAATTCAAGACCACTAGTGAGCACATTTTCCCAAAATGACCACTGGGCAACTGTGATCTTCATGTCTTTAGATTTTATCCTCTCTAGAAAACTATAAAGGGAACATACAAGACTAGGAAAACCTAATATTAAACTTTTATAGTGCTTAAGCAGCAATTGTTAAAAAACCATAAGAGTATTTCATACTCCCTAATGGGCGTATGTATGTATGTATGTATGGAGCACATGAAATTTACTAGCAGAGAGCACTAGTCTAGGCCCTTAAATATCAGTGCACCATAGTGCCACCTTGTGGCTCAACCATCACTGTTCTCTGTAATAAAAACCATTTCAAGGAAGGTTGTTATCAAGATGGCTGCCTCAGAAAGAATGTGTATGCGTGTGTGCCTGTGTGGGAGGAAGAGGGAGAGGGAGGGAGAGAGCGAGATCGCACCTTCTCTCTACCACAGCTGACTGCTGCCTTGCCTGAGTTGCATAGTTTCTAAATCACTCACAAGATGGCCTCTACAGAAGCTAGCACAGAGAAAGCAGCTACATTCTCCAAGGTCTACAGAAGTTGCACTAAGCACATACCATATCAGTCATACCACAGAACTCGTCCAGTCTTATTAGCATTTCTTCTACACACTCTTCTACTTCTTTCATCTGAAAAGAAAGAGAAAATAAAAAGTAGCTACACCAAAGAGGCAACTACCTTCTAGGAATAAACACCAACACTTCATGCATTCCAATAATATTGTGGCATTATTTAATTATCAAAATTCTGACAATGAAATAAAGTAATTAGCTATTTGGCAATGAGGTATATACACACATGTGCACACTGACACAAGTTCAAGATGTTCAAGAAATCTCTTGATGTCAAATCTGACAGCTGTCCAAGTTTTAAGCCTCCCCATAACACCTCTCAAGCATAAGATGTTTTAAATTTTGTGGATTTGTAATGTTCCAGTCATGTCACAACAGACTGTTTTGCAGATACCCATTTTCAAGAGTGAAAGTACACCTAAGTTGAAGAACCCATTTAAGAACCCAAATCTTTATCTCCTGTTTACAATGATTATTGGATTTGAATAAAACAAGTTTTGGGTATAATTTGAAATAAATACACATTGTAACAGCTTTTCCACTTCCTTCAAAATGTTATTTCAAAGGAAATTATAAATATTCTACAGTAAAATTGGCAAAACCATTAAAAACTCTTAGGACAGTATCTTGTCAGGAATGTAGGGAACAAAGGAGCTTGGACAGCCTGCAAATTGAAATGTTTCCTCTTATTTGCATTGACAAAACTTGATAAAAGATAAAACATTTGTATAAATAGTTACATTTTGTCCAAATGTGTTGTCCAGAAGGTTGTATCAGATTTATCTGGATCTGTTGTCCTAAGCGTCTTTTCCAACCTGGTGTCCTCCATTTGTTTATACTAGATTGGGAAAGACTGTTCTAAGGTAATCATGTACTAACTTTTGTAAATGCCCAAGTATCATTTAAGCATCTCGAGTAGATTCTAAGAGAGAGAGAGCACCGTTATAAAACTCACCACTGGATCTTCTCAGAGTTTGGTGTGGATGTTTTCTACAGCACTATCTTCTACTCATGTCTAAATTTCATTGAATTCAATGTGACTTACTCTCAAATAAGTTTGCTTATTATTGCAACCTTATTTAGCTCTACGGTCTATTCCACTCTGAGTGAGTACAGAAGCAAGTAAACAAAAACACCAATCAGAAAAAAACAAGATCATCTAATTCAGGACGGGCGGCAGGCAATGTGAGTACCAATATGTTGCTGGACACCTTCCATGGTGCTTGTCAAGGCACCCCATTTCTCCCACTTAAATAAATAAGCAAACAAATAATTTTTCTTACTTATATCTGAGATCACTTCAAAGTGGAGCAAGAGCTTCTCGGTACTGCCATTTTATTTCCCAAGAATGCTTCTAAGGTAGATGTGGGGCTCAAATAAATTCTTAGGAAATGAATATGGCAAGTGACAGCAGACTAAAATTTTCTTCTGCAGTGCACCCAACCACCAAGGAAAAGAAACTGAAAAAGAAAAGAAAAAGGGGTCTTGCTGCTTTCTCGGAAGTTGGAATGGGGGAGGTTAGGGAAAGGAGCAGGAGGCTAGAGAGTGTAATGGTAAGCCAGAAAGGGAGAGGAGAGGATATCTGGAAGCCTGCAAAGGGCTTGTATTCTATGTTCACATATCTGAACAGATATGGACTGCATATATGTGAGTATGGGAGGGAGAATGGGTTTTGGAATTTTGCTTCTTTATTAGAATGATCTAGAGAGATTCTAGACTGTCCTGAAAAACAGTGGATTTTTGTGTGTTTAGAGTGAAAGGAGTGTGCGTGTACATGTGGAAGCATGAAAATGCATGGGTTGCTTTCTGGCATGCATATATATGTGCCTGTATGGATGGTGTGTATATGCATGGACACATATGAAAGACCGAACAAGAGAGCATATATGTATGTGGTGAGCCAGGGTGAAAAGTGAAGGCACGCTGACCTGGTCCACAAGATCATGATAGGCAACAAGTGTCTAACCTGGCAAGGCTGACTTGTATGGATGGTTAACAAATCATACTACAATCCAACAGTTCCTAGGAATTCCGTATTATTTGTTAAGGATCCCAACAAGTCACCATTACCAGATTAAAACAATATGAGGACATGCATAATTATGCAAATCAGTCAGTATATAAAGGGCCATTGAGGGGGTAATAAGTATGTTTGTGGTGAGAGGTGGAAGATAAATGTTTGTGATCTGTGAATTCGGCTAAGAGAAACCTATAGTTTCAAAGATGCTGCTTTGTGTATTGGGAACCAGACCCCACCACTCCTGTACTCAGTCTTTTGGGCATCTTACTATACCTTTGCAACTAGTTCCAAAGAGCTGAAGAACAGAATGGGGAGTGGGGTAGTACTATGTTTTAATAAATAAATAAATACTACCTTTCAGTACTTTTCACATCTATATTCTATGAATGCAATCACTGGAATGTATGTAGGAAAAATATAACAAAATTATATTTTTATATTATAAATTATTATTATAAAAATTAGGAAATATACATTCATAGTGTTTAACCAGTTGTTATCGTGAAGCTTCACTGTAGGGGTTCTGATGATGGATAGCACATTTGAGGTCTTTCATTCATGGGATCACTGTCAGAATCAACTTGATGGCACATAACATGTTGAAGTAAAAATAAGATAAATTTTAAATTTATTTTAGCTTCCATGTTAGGTTTTATACTAATATTCAAGGAGTAAGATCAATTGTTATTGCAGGAAACCAATACCATTACAGCTGCAGCCTCTAAGGCCCAATCATAAAATAAGATTGGCTTCTATGGGGAAAAATTCTTATGCAGATGCTTAACACATTTTGATATTTTTACCATAAGGCTTTTGTGTTTCCCTTCTGTAAGCAAACTGGGTTTTTAAAAATAATTATCTTTAAAAGAGTACGTATTTGGGTTTCGGCCTTGGAAACCATATGAATGGCCTGAAGGAAGTGACCTTGATACTGGAACGATATGCATTGCCCTTGCCTCTACTGTTTAGCCTCAAAAGAGTAAATTCTAAGAGCAGTGACTGAAACTCCAAGACTGGTCTGCTTACTGTTGCTGCTCCAAAATGTCACATTAAAACCTCTAAAGAAAAAGGTCTGTGATATGAGAAGGCACAGTTTACCTGTATCTCAGAGTCAAAGGGCATTTTGTGGAAGCATGCCAAATTTCATTGAAGGCTTACTGGAATTGTCCCAAGTCAACAAGAAGCCAACAAGAAGCTCAGGAGGGAAATACTGAGCTTCTCATTACTTAAAATAAGATTTTAAGCATTGGAAAGTTTATTACCACCACACACATATATCTTGGCTTTGTTCACAGAAGTCAGAGCACAGCACAAGGTAGATTTGGTTAAGAAACAACTTGCCCAAGACTAATTTGTTCACCCAATTGCAAAGTGGCTTCATAAGCCACCATAACCTATCTTGTATGTACCAGTTGCATGTCAACTGTATTTACATAATTACCCTCAGAGTTACAACTTCTCATGTCATTTGAAGCTGGCGAGGGGGGCTTGCTGGGGTGGGTAACAAGCCACCCCTGAACCTTACTACAGTCCAACAGTCCAGCCTGACAACCCATCCTTGCTGGGTTCAGATGACACAAGAAACCATGCCAGCAGGGGAGACTGAAAATTTGATCAGCATGCGCAGGGTTGTTAGGAAGCCATGATTGTTTGTCAAACACCTTGCAATCATATAGAACAGACTCCATTCATAGATAGGTGGAGACTTGACCCTGGGATCCCAATGGCCATACCTTTATCTATTTCATTTGGCAGCTATGTGAACAGAAGACTTCCATAATTTCTACAGGTCTCCCACAGTCTATGAACTGTCCCTACGAATGTAGCAATTGTGTTAAAGCTAGATCTAGTGCAACACAGACTATTTTAAATGTTGAGAGATAAGCCTATCTTACCACAGTTGAGGTGTAAGCCTATGCATGTTTAGATAGAAAAAGTCCTAAAACTCCCAGCACTCCACTGAGCCAGCACACGTTATATTGCACAGTCAATTGAAAATGTCTAAATGTAACCAAGATTAAGGGCTATATCAAACGATAGCCAAGTCATAAACTAGGCCAAACTAATTTAACTTAAGCCAACTCATATTTCACCCTAGAATAAGGCATGATGCAGGTGAAGTCTAGATGTGTTGGCAACAAAACAATAATAGGCTATTCCATGTTATTTGCTGATTTGACATCATTAACTCAACTTAGTATTTTACAATCAGTGTCATGTTAAAAAAAACTCAAAAAAGTATATCACACTTCCCAAATAATTACATAGTAGGTAGTGGCATTTTTAAGATAGAATGACTGAGGGGGCAGCATAGGCATGAACAATGCCTACATCCTGTTCAACAATACTGCTGCAAATCACAAAAACAGGAAAAACTGAATTGCTTGCTTATTTATTCATCTTTCTCTCAGCAGGTTTGAGGGGACATATTCAACAAACTACATTAGAACAAATGCAATCATTTTCAAACCTCTGTATGTGGTACTTAATGAAAAGGCCAGTGATCGAATCCACTAAAATAATTTTGGTAAAAATATGTATTAAGTGACAGACAATGGATTTATCTATTCTATAGCAATATGAATGCTAAATTAGCTTAAGAAATACAGGTACTGCTACAACATATCAACAGCAGATTCTTTAGATTGTGATAATACTGTTTCAGAGATACCCTAACATCATACCCCAAGTAGCTAAGGGGGCAAAATCAGCATCTGGGTTTGCAGCCCACTGTACTAGCTTTAAGCTAGTGGGATATTTTTATGTTAGGGCAATCCTGACACCCAAAATCTGTGAAGAGGAAGTATACATGTTCAAGATAGGCTATAGTTAGTTGATGGCATGTTGGAGCAGCTTTAGCTTTGAAAGCAGACACTAAGTATTGTTTTGTCACTTTCTCTTTTGGACCTGTCCTGTAGTAAGCAGCTCTGGGATACTAGTCTGGCCATGCAGATCTGCTTCTTCATTTCAGTGGATAAATCCTGATGTAAATCTCCTGGTCAAATGTTCCTGTTTAAGGAACTTGGACAAATGTGGG